CCCCCAGGTGTCCCAGCCTGGCTCCAGAGGGGCTCCAGCCCTGCAGCAGCTCCAGGGCTCCTCTGGGCTCTCTGCAGCCTTTCCATGCCCACCCAAGGTTAAAATATTCCTGGATCTGTTTGGTGTCTTTGTGCTGGGACAGAATCACCCACACAGTGGGATCAGTGCATTTGTTTATCGTTTGTTATCATTCATTTATCATTTCTCTCCCTGGCTATTCACAGGCAGCAGCTTCTCCCCCGTGATGGTTCAGTCCCAGCAGTGCTCAGCTGCCTTAGGACACTTCAATATTTCCATGCAGGTGTTTTTGCAGGTTGAGGCATTGCTGGTGGGAGAGAACCAGCAGGTGCTGTAGGTGCAGCAGGATCAGCTCATACTTCATCCTGGGCAAGGATTTTTTTACTTTTAACCTGGTGTTGGGGCCGTGCCTCGCTCTGAGCCAAGGTCAAACTTCAGCCAAATCATGGTGGAACCTGAAAGGATCCACCCAGAAAAGTGCTGGGCAGCAGTGCCAGTACACCTGAGTGGGCTTTGGCTCTGATGGAGTTAATGAGCTGCTGCATCACCTCCAGACATCCCAGATTTAGGGAATCTTGTGGTCAAGACCTGCCAGTCACACACCTGCCAGCACCATTGGCTGCCTCATTTAGGTTAATTACAACAGTGCTAATTACCTGGCTCTTCCCTGGTTGAACCCACCTCAAACAAGCTGCAGGCACACAGATGTGACATGTGCCAGTCCTGTCACCTGGGCTCACCTGCAATTCCCAGCTCCGGTCCCTCCCTCCTTGCACACACCCAGGAATGGCAAACACGACTGGGAAGAGAAAGGATGGTTGGGAAAAGCTCTGAGCTGGGGTGAGATCCAGGCTTGTGGCCAGGAAAACCCTCTGGGGTTGGGATTTGGGGTGAGTCAGGAGTTAGAGCCGTGGGAGAGCCCCAACCCACCTGGCTGCACCCTCCTGCCAGGAGCTGTGGGGAGCCACAAGGTCCCCCCTGAGCCTGGGGGAGCAGCTGCTCCAGGTGGGATCACACAGGGCTGGGACCCGGCACGGCACGGCCGGGGCTGTGTCACCCTCCCTGAAGGAGTCAGCTCAGATAAATGGGATCTTGGGAATCAGGAATTGTTCCCTGGCAGGGTGGGCAGGGCTGGATGGGATCTTGGGAATCAGGAATTGTTCCCTGGCAGGGTGGGCAGGGCTGGCACAGGGTGCCCAGAGCAGCTGTGGCTGCCCCTGGATCCCTGGCAGTGCCCAAGGCCAGGTTGGACACTGGGACAGTGGGAGGTGTCCCTGCCATGGCAGGGCTGGCTCTGGGGGGGATTTGGGGCCCCTCCCAGCCCAAACGAGTCTGGAATTCTGGGATCTGAACATGCAGATTTGCAGCACACGATGGACCACAAAAGCCCACCCCAGGCAGTTCTGCAGCAGGGCCCTTCCTGCAGCCCTGGCTGCACTGGGATTCTGCAGGGACAGGTGCCAGGTGAGCCCTGGGCTCCCTGCAGAGCTCCGGGCCGGGCACAGGGGCTGGGAAACTGGAAATGACCCTGGGGGTGCTGGGGACAGGGGCTGGATGTGAACCCAGGGGTGTCCAGGTGGGCAGGAGGGTGATGGCACCTGGAATGTCACAGAGCAGGGATTGTCCCCAAGGGCTGGGATTGTCCCCCAGGGCAGGGATTGTCCCTCTGTGCTGGCACTGAGAGACCCTCGAGGGCTGTGTCCAGTTGTGGCTCCTGCAGGAGAGCCCTGGAGGGGCTGGAGGTGTCCAGGGCAGGGAACGGAGCTGGGAAGGGGCTGGAGCCCCAGGAGGGGCTGAGGGAGCTGGGAAAGGGGCTGAGGCTGGAGAAAAGGAGGCTCAGGGGGGACCTTGTGGCTCTGCACAAGTCCCTGGCAGGAGGGGCAGGGAGGGGGGGTCGGGCTGTGCTCCAGGGAACAGGGACAGGAGGAGAGGGAACGGCCTCAGGCTGGGCCAGGGCAGGCTCAGCTTGGACAGCAGCAGGAATTTCCCCATGGAAAGGGAGCTCAGGCCTTGGCAGGGGCTGCCCAGGGAGCTTTGGAGTGCCCATCCCTGCAGGTGGCACCTGGAGGTGGCACTCAGGGTGCCAAGGTGGCCATGGGGCACAGCTGGGACTGCAGGGGCTGGGAGGGCTTTGCCAGCCCCGGGGATTTGGGGATTCTGAGGGAGAGCAGCTCCCAGCTCATGGGGAAGAACACAAACATGAGAACACTGATTTTTTTTTTTTTTAAATCTGTCTTTTCAGCTGTGTTTGTCCTCCTATGACTTACAGATAATTTCTGTAGCCTGAATTAGTTATTGATGTGTGGAGCTGCTGCAGAGCTGATTCACAGATCAAAAACAAATCAGCAGCACTGAGACACGCTGAAGATAATGAAATCCATAATATTTCCACTGATTTTAATGTACCTACTTCCTTTATTTCCCCTAAGTCTTAGAACAAGGAACTGCAGACCTGGAATATTTATAAATCTGTACTGATACAAAAGGTGGTTCCTCATGAGGCACAAGAATAAATCTGGTAAATCTGTTTTACTGCTGAATCCCCGATCCAGCTCTTGCCATCCCAGCCCCACAGGTAAGAAATCCCACAGCCAGGTGGCCCCTGCTGCCCTGAGGGTCGCAGGGTTTTGTAGGGTCTGTGTTTGCCTCCCCCCAGGTGTCCTCAGCAGCTCTTTCTCCAGCACAGAGCCCACGGCCAAGGAGAAGGAAAAAAATACAAATATCATATTTAAATATATATCTAGAATATATAAATAAAGTCTATAAATAGCAATTTTTCACACTTGTGGGAGGTTCCCAATTTAGTTGTGCAGGAACAGAGCTTTGCACATAGAGGGGAGGGTGGAATTGGGTTGTTTTGAAGCTTTTTATGGAACCCCCTGCAGCCAGGGTATGAAT